TGCTGAGGGTATGTAATTTGAAAAAGAGATGTTCAATATTATAATGTAATTTTTGATTTGAAAAACAAAACTATGGTATGAAAAATATAGAGTATAAAAAGTAAACTCAAAACTACCTTATTTGGTGGTTATACACAAGAGATATCATCTAATATTTGCTTATTGGTAAAGTTTTAGGAAGGAACACATCAGAATCTCTAGGAAGGTGGAAAGAAGTCAATGTAGCTTGTGCTCATCATAAACAGTATGGGTTAAAAAAAATCGATGACAACGAGCCAGAGGAATGGAGATGAGTAGGCAGAATAAAAATAGAGAAGAGAGTGAACAAAAGGAAGAAAAATGAGTGGTGATTTTTTCCGGCAAACAAATTTGTCTGCTATCATGCCTATGTTGTAGGTGCAAATGGTCTGCCAGGTGCAAATGGTCCCCTGGGTTTGAATCCCAGCTTTGCCACTTATTAGCAATGATTTTGGACCGATAATGTTACTTCTCAAGCCTTGATTTCCTCATTTGTAATCACAAGGATAATGATAATATCTACTTTTGAGGTGTTTATGTGGGTTAAAAGGAGCTGTAGTGGCATAGTGATTAAACACTGGGATGCTAACCTGAAGATTGGTGGTTCAAACCCGCTAGTCACTCTGAGGGAGAAAAATGTGGCAGTTTGCTTCCATCATGGCTTTGGAAATACTATGGGGCAGTTCTACTCTAATAGGGTCGCTATAAGTCATAATCTACTCAGTGGCAATGAGTTTGGTTTGGTTTTTGGGTATGAGGGTTAAAAGAAATAATTCATAAAATGTGCTTAACAAAATGCCTGATGCAGAGGAAAGCTGCCCTTTTGCAGCTGGCTATACCAAAAAAAAAAAACAAAAAACAAACCAAACTCACTGCCGTCGAGTTGGATCCGACTCACAGTGACCCCTCCTTGGGTTTCTGAGGTGGTATCTCTATGGAAGTAGATTGCCCAATCTTTCTTCTGAGGAATGGCTGGTGGGTTTGAACTGACAGCCTTCTGGTTATCAGACAAATGCCTTAGATATTACACCACCAGAGCTCAGATGCATAATTAGTAGAAAGTTCTCATTGTAGGTGTGTGCATCTTCTCACTTCCTATGGCTACAGTGACGCTGCCCTCTTAGCTTCAAAACTGTATAGAGTTCATTGTACCAAGAGATAGATTTTGTGATTCGTTAAAAATTATAAAATGATTTAATATTTGAAAAGCATTCTGAAATATTATTAGGTTTTAATTATTGCAGATTAGTGAAAGTGCCCCAGCTGATAACTGAAAATATGTTTTCTCATTTATTTCCAGAAGTGTTAAATATTATTTAAATTTTGTTACTTACTTCCCCTACACAGTCTAGTAATTGGCCTACAAATGCATCCTTTAGGAATATCCAAAAACAGATAAGATGCTCTAAGAAGACCCATTTTCATTTTGTATCTTTCTAAATTTTTTTCTAAGACCCAACAATACTATGGGGATATGTATTGTCTAAAACCACAGACTAATTGTAAATGTTAAGTGTAAAAGCATAACTATATAAGCACCCCATTATAGGTTGAGACATGATAACTGTGATCTCTCAATGTAGGCTGAATTGGAACTACCCTATGAAACACTACATTCTATTTTTCTTACTTTTCTCTCTGACTCTACTATTATGTGAAGATAGGGTTTTATTATTTATGATACACATGCTTGAGAATATTAATGCAGAATGATGTCCAACCTTTACAATGGTTTGTTTACAAAGTTGTTGTAGAAAGACTCACCATGTTCTAAGCTCAAATCTGGACTCCACATTAACTGCCAATGTCATGCTGAAGACAAAACCTTAACCTCTCTGAGCCCCATTTTTCTTATATAAAATGGGAGTAATTAAGGAAGAGAATATATGTTAATATCTAGCATAATAACCTAGTGAAAAGGTTAAGATTTTGTTCTTTATGGTTAATTTGAGCCAATTAGTCTGTGGTTTTTAGACAAGTTGCTTAATACCTCTAGAAGTCAGCTGTTTCATTTATCAAATGGTGATAACATAATGGTGCTTACTTCTAAGAAACTTATCTTGTGAGTATACACAGAAGGTATCATCTATCATCTGCTTATTGGTAAGGTTTTAGGGAGACATGCATCAGAATCTCCAACAGGGTGGAAGGATGGTAAGTGTTTATTAAATACTATTCCAAACATTTTCTCTTTTACCCTTCTATATGAGGAAAATAGTGCTAATTATATTCCAAAATTAATTCTTCTAGAAAAATGGAATTAATATCTTATTAAAATGCATGGGAACCAAAAATATTCAGAGCACTGTGCAACCATATCTGAGTGCACTGTGATCACAACAGAAAAAATACAGGGAGGCTATGTTCTTAATTTCTCCCAAAGGAGGTGAAAGGAACAGAAATTCTCTCCATCTTGAGGAGGATGTCAAGTGAAAGAGAAGTTAGCAGAGGCGGATTCTACCCATTCATCTTTGTGGAAGCACATGCAATTTGAAAAGATGAAGTGAGGAAGCACATGCAGTACCTGGTCATCTCAGAGTCAGGGAGCAGGCCTAGGTGGTAGTGGGGGTAGGGAGCTGAGAGAAGGAAGCTTTTGTCACACTCAACAGGGGAATAGTGCCTGGGAGAAGCAGGCTTATCACACAGTTTGTTCACAGTGCTGTAAACAGGTTCCGGAGGCCTGGTGATACAAGAGGAAGAGAAAGATAGGTGTGGTTAGCACACACACAACTATGCAACTGTAATATTTCACCATATGCAAAAGTGAAAACCCAGAATGATGCCATAAGTTTTATTAGGCCTGAGTTAAGATTAAGAGTCTTTTTAGAAAGCAGGATGTCTGGTTAGAAATTAGGACTTTGGTTGACATACGGAATGACTACAATCTGTACGACATCAATATTGTCATGATCATCCTACAAATGCCATTCCTATTTGGGTAATCTAGTCTGAAATGCAAAATTTTGAGATACTCTGACATGACATGACTCTTTCCTAAACTTTAGTGTCATTAGTTCTTAAATGTTAACTTCACAGAAATCTTCCTTAATCACCTTAGCCAGGACTTTGCTATTTTTGCCAGCAGCCTGTTCATAATAGTTTTCTCAGTATGAAATGACATTTTTGTTTTTGTTTAATATTATCTTACACTTTCATTATACAATAAATTTCATGAGGGCAGAAACTATATTTATTTTGTTAAACACTTAAAGCCCAGCATATAGTAGTCATTCCATAAATATTTGTTAAATGCATATATAAGTGAATAAATGGTGCAGCTTCTCACATATTTATTCAATTATTTTTTGGGTCGGGAAAAGGCTGATTTTATCTAAGAACCTATAAGTTACATGATCTGTGTGATTCGTCCATATATTTACATATAGATAGCCCATCAAGAATTTATCTCTAGGAGTTTTTTTTCTTTTTTTTATGAAGAGGAAATCATAATTTATTAAAATTTCTATTAAACAAATTTATCAAAGAATATTGATACATTATCTAAAATAGCAACTTTACTATAGCTGTTACTTACAAGCATCACATGATCAGATAAAATTCACATATAAGTTTTCTTCGAAGATCTATATGCTAAAAAGTCCTTGGTTGTTAAAAAAAAAAAAAAATCTCAAAAATCTGGTTTGCAACTGCTACTACTATCTTCCCTTCAATGTAAGAATTGAAAAATTTGAATTCAAATTCAAGAATCATCTGGTAGACTGGGCATGATCCAGGAAGGGTAAGTTTGGTTGGAAAGGTAAGGAGCAGCTCAGAAAATAGGGCATTGGCCATGGGGCCATGTCTATGTGTGGCTGACCTCATCTCTATGAGACTAAGAGACACCAGGAGCAGCAAGTAGTTCCATAGGAGATATAGGCAGTGTAGGTGGTAAACCCAGTGAGGGTATAGTCCATGTCTAATTTCTTTTTGAACCTCTAGCCCCCAATGTAAGGCCTAACATATATGTAATAAGTGCTCAATAAATGTTTCCTGAAGTGATAGAGGAAGGAAAGCAGGCAGTAAAAGAGGATAAGCAGAGCATTAAATGGAAATTTCATCTAATTTTCAGTGTTACTATGGGCCATCATGTCTTAGACACACAGTCTAGAGAACTGGACTATCCCCTAACATAACACTTTCTTTTATACTGAAAGAGATGCCTTGATCTGTTTATTTTATACAATGCAATACAGGTGGTGAGGAGGAATACAAAGGTCTATTTTGTTCTCCAGAATGTAATTGAATTGATTTGTTCTAATACAGAAGATGACGTGGAACAAGGGATATCATAGCTGTTGTCAGATGGATCTTGGCTCAAGGCAGGGAATACCAGAAAGATGTTTACTTGTGTTTTATTGACTATGCAAAGGCATTTGATTGTGTGGATCATGACAAATTATGGACAACATTGAGAAGAATGGGAATTCCCGAGCACTTGATTGTACTCATGAGGAATCTGTACCTTGACCAGGAGGCTGTCATTAGAACAGAACAAGGGGACACTACATGGTTTAAAATCAAGAAGGGAGTGCATCAGGGTTGTATCCTGTCTCCACACTTATTCAATCCATATGCTGAGCAAATAATCCGAGAAGCTGGACTATATGAAGAAAAACGTGGTATCAGGATTGGAGGAAGAATCATTAACAACCTGAGATATGCAGACGATACAACTTTGCTTGCTGAAAGTGAGGATGACTTAAGGCACCTACTGATGAAGGTTGAAGAATACAGTCTGCAGTATGGATTACATCTCAACATAAAGAAAACAAAAATCCTCACAACTGGACCAATGAGCAGCATCACAATAAATGGAGAGAAGATTGAGGTGGTCAAAGAATTCACGTTGCTTGGTTCTACAATCGATGCCAACGGAAGCAGCAGTCAGGACATTAGACGACGTGTAGCATTGGGAAAGTCAACTGCGAAGGAACTGTTTCAAGTGCTGAGGAGCAAGGATATCTCATTGAGGACTAAGGTGCACCTGACACAAGCCATTATATTTCCAATCACCTGGTATGCATGTGAGAGCTGGACAATGAATAAGGAAGACCAAAGCAGAGTTGATGCTTTTGAGTTGTGGTGCTGGCGGAGAATGCGGAAAGTACCATGGACTGCTAAAAGAACTAACAGATCTGTCCTGGAGGAAGTGCAGCCAGAATGCTCCTTGGAAGCAAGAATGGCCAGACTTCGTCTCACCTATTTTGGTCATGTTGTAAGAAGGGACCATTCCCTGGAGAAGGATGTCATGCTTGGTAGCGTGGAGGGTCGACGAAAGAGGGGGAGGCCTTCAGTGAGATGGACTGATACGGTGGCTGCCATGATGGGCTCAAGTATAGCAGGGATTGTGGGGCTGGTGCGGGATCGGGCAGTGTTTCGTTCTGCTGTGCATGGGGTCGCTATGAGTCGGAAACGACTCTACGGCACTTAACAACAACAACAACAATACAGTGGCTACTAAAGTAAATTTTACAGAAAGAATTTCAGGTTTCTTAAATGAGATAGGCATTTAAAAAAAAATTAGGAAAGCTGATATGTACTCTCAATTAAACCAGTGCCCCATTTTCAGAAAATCTTCATGAGTTTTAAAATTTCTGTTCATCACTTATACCAGTACCGGTTGCTACTGAATTGACACTAACTCATAGCAACTCCATGTGTGTCAGAGCAGAACTGTGCTCCGTAATGTTTTCAATGAATGATTTTCGTTTTTGGAAGCAGTCAGTCAGGCCTTTCTTCCAAGGCACCTCCAAGTGGGTGTGGCCTTCCAATCTTTGGTTAGCAGCTGAGTGCATTAACTGTTTCTACTACCCAGGATATCTCATCAACTATACACACATGCCATTGATAATGATAAACAATAATTCTTTAAAAAAAAAAAAATTTAAAGGAAAAATTATTCCTGAAAAAAGTTTTTAAAAATCAGTTTTAATAATTTAGTTTGTGTAACGTGATATAAAAAGAAAAACACATTGGTTAGCTTCTGAAATACATTAAAAAGAAAAAAAATGGTCATATTGGTCTTAAATATGACAAGGAAAACACAAGCAACAAAAGCAAAATATATAAATAGGGTATCATCACCATGAAAAGCTTATGCACATCAAAAGACTTTATCATCAAAGGGAAAAGATAGCCTATAGAATAGGAGAAAATTTGGGGCCCATATACTAGATAAGTGTCTGCTATTTAGAATATAAGAACACCTACGACTTAATAACAAAAAGACAAAAAATTCAAACAAAAAGTGGACAAAGACCTGAAGAGGTATTTCACCACAGAAGATATACAAATGGCTAACAGTCACATAAAAAAATGCTCACAATCATTAGCCTATTAGGGTGATGCAAATCAAAACCACCACAACAACAATACAGTGGCTACTAAAGTAAATTTTACAGAAAGAATTTCAGGTTTCTTAAATTTCTGAAGTGAGATACCACTTCACCTGCTGGGATAAAAAATAAACAAAAAATGGAAAATACAAATTTTGGCAAGGATGTGGAGAAATTGGAAATCTCATTTAATATTGGTGAGAATGCAAAATGGTACAGCTATTAGGGAGCTCTGGTGGCATAGTGCCTAGGCATTTGGCTGCTAATCAGAAGGCTGGCACCAGTCACTCTTCAGAAGGAAGGTGGGGCAATCTACTTCTGTAGTGATAGTGCCTCGGAAACCCAAGGAGGGGTCGATATGAGTCAGATCAGGATCGATATGAGTCAGATCAGACTTGATGGCAGTGAGTTTTTTTTTTTTTTTTTTGATTAGGGAAAATAGTTTGGTACTTTCTCTAGAAGTTAAACATAGCTCTACCATATAACCCAGCAATTCCACTCTAAGGTATACACCCATGAGATCTGAAAGCAGAGACACAGACACATGTACACCAGTGTTTATTTTGGAACCATTCACAATAGCAAAAAGGTGGAAACAACCCAAATGCCCATCAATAGATGAATGGATTAAAAAAAAATTATGTTCTACACATACAATGCAATGCTATTCTCCCATAAAAAAGAAGTGCTGACACATGCCACAACATGGATGAACTTTGAAAACATTTTGCTGAGTGTAATAAGTCAATAACAAAAGCACAAATAGTGTATGATCACACAATATGAAATATCTAACATAGGCAAATGCACAGAGATCAGAGTTTACCAGTGGTTACCAGGGGCAGGAGGAAATCAGTTTCTGTTGATAGTGATAGAAAACTTGGCAATGGATACTGGTGATAGCTGCACAACATGATTAATGTAATTGGTCTATTTGAATTATACATGTGAAAAATGTTGAATTGGCAAATGTTGTGTTATCTGTATTTTATAACAATAAAAAGATGAAAAATAGTCATATTGAAAGAGCTGTTCATAATTTTTTATTTATCTGTGTTTTGCATTGTTTATATACTCAACTTTATGAAGATATATATATATATATTTCTCTTAATTTTAGAGACAGAAAGACGCATAATGAGAGAGAGTTGGCTCTGAGAGATCAAAGTTGTGTCTGTACCTAAAATGTGTTTCTACACAAAAAATAAGCTTGGAAAGGGCTCAATATTAATAAACAACCCAAAACCCAAATCCGTTGCCATTAAGTTGATCCTGACTCACAGTGACCCTATAGGGAGGAGTAGAACTGTCCCATAGGATTTTGAAGGCTGTAAATCTTTTCAGA